GCGGTGGTTACTGCTCTCCTCACTCACAAGAAAAGTTTGCACAGAAACCCATGTCATAAATAGACCCGGGCCGTTCCTTTGCGTATGTATGGAGTACTGTATACAGGGGGAACACTGCAGTGTTTTCAAGGCACTTTTTTCACTATAAAAAAATGTGACTTGCATGTCGCCGGCAGCAGTCTACACCTCCCAAAATATCTCCACCAGGTCTCCCACACACGGCTGCTAAACACAAGACAGGAGTAGAACATTGGAGGGAAATTAATCACAAGTTGAACTCTCTTCTCCGGCCGCCGCTCCACAGAGTGTGTTTAAGTTCCAGACGCTCGGTCGGTAAACGGGTGTTGTGTGTGCACCAATGTCAGCGTGTCCTGCACTACGGTATGTGTTAGGTCATGGGATCAGGTCCCCCGAGAGACGTCCTCGGAGTGGTGCAGAGGTTTTCTTTGGCTGCGGTCCAACGTGGGTTCTCCCGAGATGCATGGAGCAGCGCAGCACACAGCTGTTCAAACAGAGCAAGTGGCAAAATATGCGTGGCAGTCCAACAGGCTTGTTAAAAAGTAATTACAGCCCTATTTGTTCAAACTTGATTGGGATCTAAATGCAGATGTTGTGTGTGTACAAATGCATCCAATGTCCCCGGGAGGAATATATTGACTTCAGATGGATGTTCCAAAAACAACAATTGGACCTAGTGGTGATTCTGAAATTTGTGAATTTTTTCGGACTTTTTGGAATTAATATAAATGAAACACGGTGGCGACGCTCCATCTGGTTAATTTATCTACCTAATATTCTGTGTTCCTAAAAAATACAGTTCCAGCGAGAGGTTGTTTGACTTTTTCACGTCGTCTCTAACCTAATGTTGACTAGTTGTTGATGATGTCATCGATTTTACGTCATCTCTCAGGTGCGTAAGGAGTATGGCAAATGTCTGCGCACTCACTGCTGCAGTGGCAAGAGCGTGGAGACCACCATCTCCTCCTCCAGTAAGACCACCACCTCACGGACCCCGGGCCGCTACTCCACAGGCTCACAGGTGAGCTTTCCTGCCTGCACAGCTGGACGCTACAGCACAGCGGACTCTCAGGTGAGGCCAGAGCACGCCGTCCCGGTGTTGGGTCCTCACTTTCACTTTCTTTTCACATGTTATTTTGGAAGGTTAATTTCATTAGTTGGCCTCACTTTCACTTTCTTTTCACATGTTTTTTTGGAAGGTTAATTTCATTAGTTGTTTTTTTTTTTGTTTTGAAAGTGAGCGCTCAGACCCAGAGCAACATTTCGCTGCCGACACAACCGTGTATTGACGAGTGATTTTTTTTTTCTCTCACTTGTTTCTCTTCACTTCGGTCTTTGCTTTTTCTTTTTCCTTTTCTGCCCTTCCTGCAACAAATTGCCCTCGGCCTTTACCCTGCTGCCTCCCTTTTATATTACGTTGTCTTAAAATAATCTTTCCCTCCTCCCTGTTCCCTACTTTTTTCTCTCTCTTTCTCCATCATCTCCCTGCCTCTTTCTCTCTGTCTATGTCTTCTCCACCTTTTTCTTCTCCACCTCCTTCTTCTCCACCTCCTTCTTTCCTGCTCCCTCATTTCACCTTTGTGCAGAGTCGTATCAGGCGCATGTGGAACGACACTGTGAGGAAACAGGAGTCCTCCTTCATCACCGGAGACATCAACAGCTCTGCCACCCTCAACAGAGGTAACCATGGGATACCTACCATTTACATCCTCATCCCTGTCACCATATCTGCTTTATCAATAGCGAGGGGTTCAGACAGCATACATCATCATTTAATAACCCCACAGGAGTCCAGACTTCTGGGAGAATAGCTCAGTGTCGGTGTAGAGAGCAGCGTATTAAAAGATTTATTTTAAAGGAAAATGAAACCTCGTTTGCCACCGACTGGAAAATGTACAATAGACATCAAACCGCGTCGTGAGTTCAACTCAAATATTCACTCCTTTGTATACACGGGGCTTTTGTGTAACGTCGGGTGATGAATGTGTTTAAGTATTTGTCCTAACACCACTGGGACTCTCTGTATCATTTACATTTAGATGAAGATTTAATTAAAGCTTTGTTATTCACTACAGCGTCACTTAAGATTACAGTGCTACTGCCAAAAATTTACCGCGTGTCCCTTTTTAACAAGTTGCACGAAAAATAGTGCTGGGGCACAGAGAGCACCACCGGAAAACAAAAATGTTTCAGTGTTGCTCTCTTGAGGATTTTTTGTGTTCAGCCGAGCTTATCTCGTTATATGAAGGCTACTGTAATTACCCGGATTTTAAATGGGTGTAAGCTGAGCGCGCTGTGTTTCACCGTCCTCGCAACTGTCTGGTGCTGTCCCTCCAGAGCACGCCACAGTAATGGTCTGTAAAAATGGAAGCCATAAATATGGCTGTCGGTGCTATAGGGTAATGAGGACGTGGACATTTTTGACATACCCCGACAGGCACACTCCCATCACGCAGCACACACACTCACACACACACACACACGTCATTGTGTTTGTTAGTGTCTGCGTTGAGGTGTGGCCTTCGTTTCCTTCCGGCCCCTAATAAGCTATTAGCCTGACAGATTGATGCTAAAGCAGACACGGTGTGTGTCAGCCGCTGAATTATCACACACTTAGTGCGACGGGGCTTAAGAAAAAACTCCTCCTCCGTCTGCTTTCATACTATTTAAACTCCTGTTGCTTTGTGGGTAGGTTTCAAACCCAATACATGTCGGCACTGGGTGAGTAAGGGAGCGTCCTCTGATGTGTAAAGGATTTGTGTAAATTAAAGAGGAGTGTCACAGAGAAAATCTGAATTTATTTTGTTTTTAACCCAAGCCCTAAAAGTTTTGTGATAACATATTTATAGCGAATGCTTCCCATACAGAAGTCAATATAAAGAAAATCAAAGAAGCCGTCCTTAGGTTTCCTGTCCTTCCGTGTTAGCACATTTGTTTGAAGCTAATATCCGCTTCATTATTTCTAATTTATTCAACCCGAGGCTCTCTTTGACCAGCGCGGCTGCTTGAAATCGACTCTTTTATTCTGAAAGGAAGAATAATTTTTAAAGCTGAGAAAATAAAGAGCCACCATGGAAACATAATCACTTTCTGCACTGAAACATATTCACTTAGAAATAGCAGTAGTGCGAGTGTGAGGATGTAGGGGGGAGGATAGATTCACACAATCTGTCATGGTCGTTCGTCCTCTGTGTTTTTTTTCTGCACTGTCTCAAAGTGTAAATGATCTGTTGCCTATCTTCAGAGGAAAATGCTCCTGGGAAGTTTTTTTTGCGAGCTCTTTTGTCCATTTACTATCCTGTAGTCACGCTTTCCTGCTCAGGTGTATTGAACTGCAGCACTAATCTGTCCAAGCACTGCTACTTTCTCCTTCTCTCTCCCTCCCTCCCTCCCTCCTTCCCCTCCCCGTGTACCTCTGTCCCATCTCTCCCATACCATCCCTTAGCCCGTATGCATTGGCTGCAAGAATGACTTGTCGAGCTTTTTCTTGGCTGTCACCTCTGACTGTGTTTGCTCCTTTGATTTTCTTATCCTCTTCTCCTCCCCTCCTCCCCCCACCTCTCTTCCACACACTCACTTTCCATCTCGTCTTCCCTTGTTTTTCCTCTCTCTTGCTGACTTCCACTCTGCGATGTTTCTTTGCCTCCTCTTTTTTACCCCCTTCCTTGTCTTTTTCCTGGAGTGCCTCTCTCATTTTCTCTCTTGACTTGGCTGTTGCTTTCCCTCTCTCTTCCTCTCTCCACTCGGCTGTTGCTTTCCCTCTCTCTTTGTCTATCTGCCTGTACCAGGAGCCATGGCTAATCATCTTATAACTAATGCTCTCCTTCGTCCCCATGGTACTAACAATCCTTATAACACTCTCCTGGGGGATTCTGCAGTCTATAATAACCCAGCCGTGGGCATGTACAACACCCAAGGTCTGCCTGAAGTTCCTATTATCTACATATTACTTTAGAGAAGTTAACGTTGACTTCATTTCACCACCTTTACATTGATTTTGCATGTTTGTTTGTTTGTTGTTATTTTTTAACTCTATGGCTGCATGTCTGATCTAGACCAGTGATTCTTAACCATAGGGCCGCTGCCCAAACTTGGGCCTCCAGCGCCACCTAGCGGGCCACAGAAAACGTTCAGTTTTGCACATGTGGGCCGCAGGTTTGCATACATTATCAACTCAAGACCCCAGAGATATGTCATCCATGAGATGCTGAGTTGCAATTCAGCTTTTGACCACGTGGTGGTAGTAATACAGCAGTCAGTTCTTTAACAAGCTCCAATATACAAGGACTATATACGAGGACTTTCCTCTCTGTGCTAGCTGTATCAAAAAATGTGGTAATTGTTTTTATTCGAAAAAAGTCAAACCTATTTAGTGTTAACGTTCAACAAGCTCCGCCCACTTTGTACTATAAAAATTGGGCTCCAAGGTCAAAAAGGTTAAGAACCCCTGATCTAGACGTGTAATGGCTCCAAAGTAAGATGACCAATCACAAGTCTTTCGTGGCGGACCCCCCACTGGGCGGTCCTCACGGCTCTTACATAAACAGACGAGTTCTGCTGGTCTGACATTAAAGTGACTCTGTGCTGGAGATGAAACCTCACGACTTCTGTTCTTCTCTTTTCTTGGGAGCCATTGATGAAATACGGCTGCAGCTTCATTTCTAACGTCTTGTGAAATGTGACGTGTTTCTGTATCTGTGTGAAGAACATTTTAGCCTGAAAACAGGTGTAAACCTTAGACAGGTCCTTTTTTTTATTGTGATGATTTTTTTTTTTTTTTACGAGTCATCATTGGCTGTTTAAATGTTTGTCGTTTGTCGTGACATGCCTCGTGTCTGAAAAAACAACTGACCTCTGTCTCCCTTTTCTCCCCCATGCTGCCAATCAGCACCATACCGAGACACAAGTACGGAATGAATTGACTCTACTTTCTAACAGTGTCGCCTCAGTCGTAACGACACACACACAAATAAACAACCTTAATAGTTCGAACGACAATAAAAATAAATATTCTAGTACACTGTGTTGAAATGTAGTGCCAGTCATTTGTGCCAATTTAAATTTAACTTTTATATCGTTTTAAATAATTGCTGAGTCATTTTCTTTTCTTTTTTTTTTCTTTTTTTTTTACTGGAACATTATCACTGTGATGCTTTCAGTCATTTAAAAAGAAAGTAGGTTTTTTAAATGAGTGCTTCAGACTTGGATCTTTGCTTCACAAAAATGGATTAATGCAACTTTTTTTTTAATCAATTTTCTCTCTGATGTGATTGACTCACTGATACCATAATCTCCCAGCAGTAATGAAAACAGCTCTGCTGTCGTCTGTTAGACTTAACCAAGATTTTGAATCATTTCTCCGTTTGACTTTTTTCATGGAACCTTCAGAGGGCATCCTGAACAACGCCAGAGACTCCAGCGTTATGGACACACTCCCTCTGAACGGCAACCATCCCAACAACTACAGCATGGCCAGCAGCGAATACCTGAGCGACTGCGTCCAGATCCTGGACCGCAGCGGTGGCTACGGCACCCACAGCAATCACAAGGAGACCACGCTGGAGAAGAAGATCCTCAAGGAGCTGACGTCGAACTACATTCCCTCGTACCTCAACAACCATGAGAGGGCCACGACGGAGCGCAGCCACAACCTGATGAACAAGCTGGTCAACAGCAACATGGCCAACGGAGGTAGTTGTTCATTTAGTTTGGAGATTCACACCTGGGGTTGACTTTTTGAACTTTTTGAATTTTTGATAAATGACGTAAAAATCATGAATAAAGGCTAAAATGCTAAAATGCTTTCATCATTTTCTACACCATCTATTGGGGAAACGTGGGTATTGCAGGAAAAAGGCAAAAGTATAATGAGAATATTAATAAACTCTATATTTTGGAAAAGTTTGGCGGGCCGGATTAAAAATTCTGAACGGGCCACATCCGGCCCCCGAGCCTTAGATACATTTCTTGAAGCCTGTGATTTTACAATTCACTCTGACTAATCCAGTCCCACGTAGACAACAGTGGTTCCATAGTGTAGCGGTTTGCACACCTGCCTTTCAAGCAGCGAGCAGAGAGTCCTCGGTACAATTCCCAAAGGAACCACATACTTGGCGCCTCCAAGGGGCAGCCTGTTGCAGCACATCTGCAGTTAACACAAGAATGTCCCCAGTGTGGCAATAAAAAGTTAAAATATATTAAAAAAAATACATTCACCCAAATCCAGGTAAGTTTGTACATGAATGTGAATTGTTTTTAGCCTGGTCAGCTGAACCTCAACATTTAGAGATGAATAAATGCAACAACTTACAAAAAAGTCCAATATAGTGAGAATAAAATGGTCTGAACCTGTGGCTTTTTGTCTTTTACGAGCCCCAAAGTAGATGTAAATGGGTTTTTTGGTAAAAAAAAAAAAGGAGTATTTTTATTCAAAGGGTTACTACAGTACCACTGCTTGTTTCTTGTAGGGAGCATGCCCGGGGGCTGCAGCAGCAGCAGCAGCAGCAGTGGTGTCGGTGGGTGTGTGAGCAACAGCAAAGAGGACAATGGTCCGATGGTGCTGGACAACCCCGCGGCCTTCCCTCACGAGGAGAACCTGGGTCTGGAGATTATCAGAGAGGAGTCCAACGCTCCTCTGCTGCCTCCGCGACCTCCTCCACCAGACAGCCACCCACCTCCTCCGCCCCCTCCCCACAACTTCTCCAGGCAACGGCGCATTCCCCAGGAGACCAGCGAGAGCTTCTTCCCCCTCCTGACCAACGAGCACACCGACGAGCACACACACTCACCTAACCACAGAGACTCGCTCTACACCAGCATGCCAGTACTAACAGACCTCCCAGACGGGCAGATGAATGGTTTGACAGACGGAGAGGAGGACAGCTCAGGGGAGGGGCTGCCCTGTAAGAGTGCCACGGCTCCAGAGCTGGACGACGTCTACTACAAGAGCATGCCAAACCTGGGCTCCAGGAATCACCTTCATGAGCTGCAGAGCTACTACCACATGGGCCGTGGTGGCAGCGATGGGTACGTGGTGTCCGGAAGTAAGGAGGAGTCCGACTCCTCACCCGAGGAGCCGTCGGTAGACCCTTCCCACTTGGTCACCAGTCTATAGAGCCAATCCAGAGACTTCTGTCCCTCTGTGGTCCCCTCACGTTTTGGAACTTGTGATGAAAATATTCTGTGTTGGTGACTGACAGGCTGAGCTGGCCCAGCCCTGGACTGATGAACTGGAAGCTACAGTAACTATGGTTGATGTTGAGAGAATAGTCAAAGCACGCATTTGTGCAGTGCACTCTGGGAGAGTGGACCTGGGAGACATTTGTGAACATTTAAAACCAGAGAAGAAGAACCAAGGGAGAGGGACTCTGTAATTTTAACTTTACCCTGTAACTTTATTTCAGAATCTTGGATCGACCGTAGCCCTACAAGTTCCCCGACGTGGACCTCTAGCAGATCATAGCATATAGTCTCCATCAGTATCAGAGGGGGGCGCGGCCCCCGGCCCTGGTTTGAGGAGCTGCTTGTCTGTTTGTGTGTTTGTCTGTCGCTCTATCTCACTTTTAAAGACGTGCTGGGATGACGCTTCCACCTCCTCAAACACTAGAGCCTGAATCTGATTTCTGGTGTCCATTCCATAAACTGGTCCCAAACAGACTCCGCCCACTGGGCACCAGTCAGGCGGAGGATGTGCGATACGCGCTGTCACCAGTGACCATCCCAGGAACTGTTTTTGCCGAACAGCCGAACTGCAACCATATCACACTGACGCTCTGACTCTATTCCTTCGTATCTGCTAATCTGGAGTTGTGTCTAATCTGGGCTGGTGTAACATTCCTGCGAGTTGTAGTGACTGCAGCTACTATGTATTCCACTGAAAACAAAGAGGAAAAGTCATTATACAGAGCGAGTTAAAAAAAAAGAAAAAAAAGGGAAAAAAAAGAATGGCTTCTGTTTCTTCTCCTTTCTTCTGTGAAGGTTTTCTTTATCAAAGAATAACGAGGAAATCCAACTGTTTCTATGTATTGTACAGAATACAGATACAAATACAAATGTTGCATATGACCAAGTCTTTCTTTTTTTATTTTAATTTTTTATTTTGTATCGTCTGTAGAAACGTTTTCAGAAGTCACAGTGTGTTCTAGTCACATGTACACTACAATATGAGGAAGGAACGTTCTTTCATCTTTCACTCTTTCATTAACACAGAGACAATTGCACACTCCGTAAATGATATGCATATACCCTGCACACAGCTCCCCCTATGGTCCTCTTACTGCAAAAAAAAGACTCATGTTTTGTTTTGTTTTTTGTTTGTTTGTTTGGTTTTTTTTTTTTTCAAATTCACACGACTCTATATATTTTACCTCCTGCTGGTTTGAAACACCAGTGGAAGGGGAGCGACTACGATGTGAAGGAGAAAAGGAAGTTCTTAGTTTCAGTTATGCAAGTGCATCCTGTCTCCTTTGTTTTGGAGCTTGGTTGCAAAACCGTATGCAAAAATGAGTAGTACAACATTGAACCTTATCTTATATATATTGCCATTTTTTTATGACGTTGCGGTCCTGTGCTGATTCTTTTTTTTTCTACAGAAAATATAATAGTAATCTCCGTTCCACAAGTACCCAAACTGAACTCCCAGGATTTTGACACATTTAAAAAAGAAGTCGCCTCGAACCTGTATAACGGCGTAATAACTGTAACGAAGATGTGAAACCCGCACACTGTCCGGTGTGGAAAGCCAATGTTTACTTATGTAGGAGGAAGAGTTTATTAAGTGTATGAAGTTTAGCT